GCTCTTGACCGGCATTGCCTAAAGTCCGGAGCGATCTTAAAAGTACTTACTGCATCCGAAGAAATGCAATGTAATTAATGCACAGCATAGGATTGGTCATTCACACTATATGAATAAAGTCAATAGGTAGCTTCAAGCAATACGCAAGGGAACCCGCTCTACTGAGCATGCAGAAAAGAGGGGGGATACACTACAAACACAACAAAAAATATCTCTATAAAAAAACAATCTGCACTCCTAAAAATGAAACCACATTCTAAATATTTAGATATATAAACATATAAAGTGACACTAAACTCAGGAGTTGAATCTTAAAAATGCATTAAAGTACCTTAACTATTGACAAAAATTGTATCTTATCTGTGCATCATTCAGGTGTAGATCCTCAAATCATCTCTGAATTGGTGATGACACTGTCCTTCCTTCTGGAGGGGGGCTACTTTTGTTCTCTATGGTCCCCGTGTGTGCTGTAAAGTAGTCACTGCTCCGAGCTCAGTCCCGTGATGGACTACAATGTCAGTACAAATGAGTAAACTAAACGTGAGATTGTAGTTCATCACAGGAGTGAGCTTGAAGCGGGGGCTGCTGTACAGCACACACAGGGACCATAGAGAACAAAAGTAGCTACCCTCCAGAAGGAAGGACAGTGTCAGCACCAATTCAGAGATGATTTGAGGATCTACAGCCAAGTGATACACAAATATGATACATTTTTGTTAATAGTTAGGGTACTTGAATGCATTTTTAAGATTTAACTCCTGAGTTTAGTGTCACATTAACATGAGTTCTATCCTGGAATGACTCGGGTCACTTATGAATGGAAAGTTGTTAGAAACACAACATATGCGGGAAAAATATATGCATTACAATAAGGTCAGAGTACTACAAAAATAATTAATAGCAGCCCTGAGTCTATATATGTAAACCTCTAAAGTCAAAAGATGGTGCCTTTCCAGGTAGTTGCTGAGATAACATCCAAGTTGACTGATGGAATGGAACTCCACAATTTCTGTATAATGGAATGCAGGTGCACCTGTCAGTATACTTATCACCATAGCTGGGAACGTTCCGGAAATTGCCTGGCAATACCAGAACTTATGTCCAGTTGCGGGGTCATTATCAGAATTAGTATAATCTCTGGAATAAGAGCTGTATGCTTGACTTCATCTTCTATCTCACATATGCAGCGACAAGAAGATCCCAGCAGCTGGCTAATGCCGCGTCTACAGGCAGCCCAGAGCTCAGACAGGGATACTCTTATGAGGAGCTCCTGGGGGACTGTTGTGGAAGGGTTCTTTTGAAGAGGAGGTCTCCGCTGGAGTGTGGGAGGGTGGTGAAATTTTTTTCTTAATATTTTATTGTAGATTCCTGATGTATCATTTAAGCCCCTCCCACCTTTAGCGTTTTTTGGCCAGTCTCCCCATTTGGCAAGCACCACCCTCACCCCCCACCCACATTCTCAGGAATTTGGATTTTCCAAACTTCCCAGGTATGCTTACCATGTCACTTCTACGAGCTGGTCCACCACATAGACTGGGTGAGTTACATGGTGCAAGCATGTCCTATGGGGCATTTTCCGGCCCCATTCCGTTGTGCCATTCTACCAATCCTGATGAAGTGACTGCAATACATGTGTTTACTCCATCAGTTGACTGGGTTCTATCCTTCCTTATCCATCCTTTGACTATACAGATTTACTCATATAGAAGGTTTGCACATATTTATCTGCAGTCTTTTATATGGCATGTTCCTTACAGTTTTCCATAAGTGACTCAACGTAGATCATTCAAACATAGAACCCATGTTGAGTGTTACAGTATAATAAGTTGTCCATTTAGCTTATGTGTTTACTGATGGATGAGTTGTTTGGGAGAAAAATTAACTGCTTTTAATGATGTGTTTGTGTGTCAGTTGGATAACCATGTGCTTATTGGATACAAGTTCTTTCTTTCATAAAGTGAATCAAATCTCTGACTATATAGAATTTGGTCTCATTTTCAGCAATGCTGATTTTTTTTTTTTAGCACAAAGGGGGGATACTTTTGTGGTTTGTAAAGTGCACTTGGAAAGCGCATAAAACCCCCCAAAAAAGCCCATTGACATGATGGAGAGTCAGGATCATTATTATGATTTCATATATGTTATAGAGCCACCATCAGTTACATTTACAATACAATTCCATACAAGAGGATTAGAGGGCCTTGCTCATGAGAGCTTGCAATCTACAAGATCCTGTGTAACGTGTGTAGTTGCTTTACTAACTACTTAGACATGCAGCCTCTTTACAAACCCACTGACACCTATACGATTCTAACTAAACAAATGTTGTTCCATAACTCAATATTTTTCAAGTCAATATTGTAGCAAATAATTGCCAGTTACTGGCTCCCAGTGGCTTTTCAACTAGTGTAGCTCTAAAAACACAGATGAGTAGAAATTCTATAATAACTTTCCGAGTTGAGCTGAACCAGGTCAGGACCAATTCCACTTAATTTGCCCTGTTCTGCCACCATAAACCAAGAGAGTGCAAACCTTGTCCTCTGTTACTGTGTTTACCCATTTCCAGTGTATTTCTGTGTAATACAGCAAATCTATCAAGCCTTCCCTTTTCTATACAGTCTATTTTGACACTTCTGAATATGATGTCCTTTCTTGACACATCCATCAGTGTGTGCTGTCATTTGTCTGTCACACCATGTCCTCTGTCCTACATATGTCCTCTGCCGCTCAAATAGCTGTTGTTGTCCCCGTTTATAATCTCGCTAATGTTGTCCCAGATGTTCTGCGGGAAGAAGGATGCTTCAGCTATTGCACATCTATATATAAAATAGGCCCAC